CTGTCTAGAGGAACTCAACAAAAAATCAACCTTAACACTAACTTTCTGGGCTAATTCAGCATGTTAAATACTTGTTGCTAGGGTAATATGCTGCCTAGCAACTGTTGCAATGGTTTACTTGGGTTTTTAATGTCTTAAAACAGTATAGTGATAGTTCTGATGGTTTGAAACATTATTAAAAGCCTTTTTAAATCATTTAAACTGAACAAGAAAGGTCCAATTAGCTTGTTACTAAGGTAAATCACTTCCTTAGCAACGGTTGCTAAGCAACGCTTTGAAATTTTGGGCACTGCCCTTGAAAATGATCAGCATAGTCCAAAGAACATTTGTGCCAAGTTTCATGCTTTTTCCACCTTTTGAGCAATTTTTGCACCAGTCATCTAGACTAATAGTACACTTGGAAATTTATGTGCACCTGGTGACTACATTTCTTATGTTTGTCCGAAATGTACTCATAAAATAGGGCACAGATGCTGAGCTTACTTACACCCTGATTTGGTAACCCTTTCAATGCACATTAAAATTGGAGCATAAGTTCGCTAAAAACCTATGCTATATTTCATGTGCACATTTGGGCCGAAGTTGACGAAAATACAACATCCTAATGTCCAGATTTCTGGATTAATCAGGAGACTTCAATCTCTTGAGTCTAGATACACACTTCAATCCTCACTTTCTTCCCTCCAACTCCTCCTTTTCTTTCCTCTCCTTCCGGAGTTCTTCTTTAACAAATACCACTTCTGACTGGTCTTTAAACTTTTCTTCCCACTCTTCTCTCTCTGTCTGTAATCATACATAGTAAACGTTATAATATGAACACATTCAATATCCAATCATTATAAGTGTCTGTAAGGTTTTAGAGCATGCTCATGATGTCATGCACAATGCCCCTATAGGTTCAAATGCAGTTGTATTTATGCATGTTTCTTAGCAATTACATGAATTGCAGTTCTCCTTTCTTCACAATCATATTTGGAATACCAGAACCTTGACATACCTACCTGCACTTGTCACATACCTGCACCTTATCGCACCTACCTGAACCTTGTCATACCTACCTGTATTTGCTGTTCAAACTGCTCCCTGAGGTTGGCTGCTTCCTCTGAAGCTGAACTTAAAGCTTTGTGCAGCTGACTGTTCTCTTGTTCTAGCTGTATGTGGGTATCCTGAATTAGAAAAAATTAGACCTAGACAGAAAAGTTTGCAAATATACATACACTAAAAAGGTGTAGAGAAATATAGAAAAGATATGATATATATGAGAGTTACATATTTACCAATGGTCAATTAATCTGCCCCCTATTAAAAGTTAGTCGATTGTTTTTTTTTTCAAAATAAGTGTTTTTGTAGTAATCTTTTAAGAGATTACTACGGAGAGTTGCCATCTACAAAGGTCCATGTGGCAATGGCAAGTACAGATTTGAAGTGTGATAGCCACCATTTTGATGGTAAAATGAGTTTTATAATGTTGTTGCATTTATTTTGGAATTCTTAATCTCATATGAAGAGTTGTTATCCCTTTAATAACTAACCCTGTGGTCATCAAATAGCTGCTGCATGCCCTCCAGTTGTTTGTTCAGGTCTGCGTAGCCAATCTTAATCTTCTCCATCTCTCCAACCATCAGCCCTTTCTCATTTTCAAGTGCCTGAATTTTAGCTTTTTTACTTTCTGAAAATAAAAAAAAAAATTAGTAAATAATGAATAGTAAATACTGATGGTGATACGGTTTTTAGATTTAGAAATATAAGATCAGATAACAATAGATGAATATTTTGTCAATCTTATAACATGCGACACCTAATTCAATGCTGTATAGTTAAAGCTGCTCCTCTAGCCATAATCTGGCTTAACACCCCTTCCCACCCCCCTACCCTTCCCAAGTTAAATCTAGATGGATATTTAGTAAATCTTTTATCATGCCATACCTAATTCAATGCTGTATAGTTTAAGCTGCTCCTCCAGCTGTATCCTGGCTTGGTGGTCCTCCTGTGCACGTTGACGCGCCCTGGCTCCATCCTGTCTCAGTACTGAGCAGTCTGTGGACAGGGTTTTCACCTGAAAAGAGAACAAAAAGTTTTGGTGAAACTGGTTTTTTTCACTGTGTCTTGTGTAGCAATGGCAAAAAAGTAATTTGGTGACTTGATTTTAACATAAATTTCCAAATATATAAATTCATCATCTGGCTTGTATATTTTGATTCAAACTTGTCTAGTAGTTTCTGAGGTCCAACAGTGGGCTGAAAAATTTAAGGCACACAATATCAAGCATAAATAATATGAGAGTGAGAGCCTTACCTCGCCCCTCTCAGCTTCTACCACTTCCTCTAACTGGTGTATCCTGCTGAGCAGTGTATTGTGGGATTCCTCCAGACTGGAGCGGAGATTCTGCTCCCTTGCAAGTTCTTCTCTCAGTCCAGCCAGCTGCCTGGAGAGCTTCTGTTTTGTGGACTTGAGATCTTCCACTTTATTAGCTGTGTCAGCCTGTGAGGTTTTAACAAATATAGAAAAAAAATTTTTTTTATATTTCATTTAGTCTATATTGTTACAAAAATGGCAGAAGACCGCTGAAACACTTAAAATTGAAATTTTATAAATAATTGTTTTCTGCAGTAAATAATGATGCTACTAGTACTTATGCACTCACACTGTGATCCATCATTGGAATTGGCTTTTTAATCCCCATGTAATGTTCCTTCCCTCTTTCCCTCCCTTTATTCCAAACCAGTCTCTCTCTCTCAAACACACACACAGGCATACACACACTTACACTCATGCATACACACACACACACACACACACACACACACACACTCCCCATTCTCTCTCTCTCTCTTCACTTACCCTTGTGCTGGTAGCTACCTCCAGTGCCTCCTGCAACCTCCTCACTTCTTCCTCTGCCTGCAGTCTGGCCTCCTTGTCCTCTTTCAGTTCCTTGCGACATCTCCCCAAGTCCCTGTTAATTTTTTTCAATTCCCGTTCATTCACTTCATTTAACTGAGCTAGCTTCTCCTCTGCAAAATCAAAATTTTGTACAATAATAATAATTATTATTATAAAATGTGAATTGCTTTCAAACATCACATATCAAGGAAACAGCTTTTCAATCTAATAAATTCAGTGTTTCAAAACACAGAAAAAAACTCAGCTCATGTCAAGCAAAACAGAACTACACCATTTTTGTGACTGTAAACTTATCTGAAACTGAATTCTACCTGTGACAATGGTCTCCTTCTTCCTTAAATCAACCTCTGCCTGCAGGGTGCAGATGTTCAACCTCAATGACTGAATGATGCTCTCTAACTTACAAACCCTGCTTACGAGTGTTTCATAATTTCTGAAAAAAATGTTTCCTACTCTGTCAAGATGTAACTTTCCAAACTTAATTTCAAATTCTTTTCAAAGAATATCAATAAATTCCTGTCTCCCATAATTTATTAAACTTGTTATCTTATACCTAGAGAAAAATATGTTATACTCATACACATATTTCTTTTCAAATTAAATCTTTTTGTGTTAAATTTGCCAAAAAAAAAAACATAAAAAAATCTCTTAATCTACCAACCTATGCAATATATCAGGATCTGCCATCCTCGGGGTATAAGGTGACACCCTCTCCCCTCTGTGGTCTCTGTTTGGATTCGGATTCATTCCCATTTCTCTCAGAACAGAGACTAGCCCCTTAGCATCCTCCTCTGCAGCTTGAAGACGTTGTGATAAGACATCCAGAGTCTGCTGCGGTGGGGAGTCATGAGCCAGGGGCATGGGAGGAATTGCTGCATGGGTCATAGTCTGAGTATGTCATGCACCTTTACTAGTATTTGTTACGCTCGTTCATTGGAGATGGAGTCCTGTAAAATTGATGTAAAACAGAACTCTCCATATTCTGAACATTCAAAATGTTCAGGACGTACCTGCAAGTATTGGAACTCATATGCTTCTGATTTCACCTCCCACACTATAATCCCGTTCTTAATTAGCATAAAAACAAAACAGACATAAAGAGTCCGAGTGTGAGAATCTGAGTCGGTTGTAGAAAACGAGAACTACTAGTTTTGTAAAATCAGCCAATCATTGGATAAGAACTATAACCCACTGTGTGTAAAATGAAGAATGTGCCTTTTCCTAGAATTTGTCATTAAATATCCAAATACGTCTGCACGCGATGACTTATTTCAAATTTTTACCTTACAAAAGTTGAATTTTCCACCTATCTCGGCCATTTTGAAACAAACACAAAATTCTGAGATTTGATTGGCTGACCTAATTTTCACTTCAAGACAAGCCAATGGCTTATTTTGTGAAGCTGTAGGTACAGTTTGTTTAGGATGATCAATAATGCTCAACTGTACCCGTGCTTTTGCTTCAGAATCAAAATCAATTATTTTCTTTTTGAATATTCTCAAAAAGCAGGACCTGAAAAGCCACATTTCACTTCATGTGTTCTTACATTTGAAAAATTGTTGATTACACAAACTAACAACAAAATGAAGAACACTTTTTATAATAATGATTTTACTGCATTTTTGAATATTTGAAAATTTCACATTTTACGATATTATTTGTTATGGAAAACAGCTTTACATGTGAAAACAAGCTTTCTTCCACTGCAATTTACCTTTTTTTTTCATGACTCAGAACAAAGATAAGCATAGCTAAATATATTTCAGTAAGGTGACATACATGTCCATAATTATATTTACAAACTTTTTCATAATTTTACATACACAGCCATCAGTATTATTCCCCATATTACATCAAGTGAATCTGGTACAAACATTCTTCGACATTTACACTTTACAATAAATTTTATGATGACATTTCACAATAGAGTCTTAGGCATTGATACCTCAGTCTTAAATAAGCCCCATTTTACATATGCTTTGACTTGAAGGCTTACAATATGACTTTCCAGTTTGAAATTACTAGAACAAATATTCCTAGTCACCATCTTTTACCTCAAACTGATTTGTAAATAATTAGAATATTTAGATTTGTAAACACCTGTTTGTTGACTTCCAATTGCATTAAAGAAAGATTTTACTTATGAAGAAAAAGAAGTCAAATCATAAGTGTCAAAATTTGATTAGCAAGTAACAACATACAGCAAAGAAAAAAATGAAGATCTCGCACAGTGGCTCTTAATGGTACAAACTCCTCAGTGAAGGTCCGTTTTAGTCTGTCTTAACTCTTAAACTTAACATAAGAAAATTCAAATAAATAGAAAGTATGGGGAAAGACATTTCTGGAGAACACTGTGAAGATGGCCATCACTTCACAACACAAAACGGAAGTCCAGCTCAATACTTTTATTAAATGGCCAATAAGCTTAGGTCCATCAATGTCTGAAGAACCAGAAAAGTTTGAAAAAATCTTTGTATATTGCATATCTGCTCTGAATTGTACAACTCTGTTTATTTCCCACGTACCACAGGCATTTCTCTAAGTGCCTATCACCGCTGTCTTAGCATTCATGAATGTCTCATATCTCCAGTCACCACTGCAGCTATTTACCAGATCCTCCTCAGTGTCAAATGCACCTTTAAACAAACCAAATTCCTTTCCTTGACCTCTCAATACCCTCTCCCACCTCTCCACTGTCCTCGGGGAGGCCCTGCACGACCTGGCGGCCCACCTCTCCCAGGGGGAAGACCCCTGCCACGTGGAAGACCCCCTCTACCTGGTGGTGGTGGCCCCCCTCGGCCTCCTGGGGGTCCACCTCTACCTGGGGGTCCACCCATAAGACCTCGGGGCATTCCTCTGCCACCCCTGCCCCTGGGGGGTCCATACGATCCCATTTCCTCGCCTGGGCCTTCCTCCCAGGTTCTTTTCCTTCCCACGCCCATTTCACTGGGATCGCCATGTTGTGACATGTAGCCCCCTCTACTGGGGGGCCTGTCACGCCTGTCATACTGTTCATCCTCATCATGGTGCATGTATCCCCCTCTCCCACGCCTTGGGGGGCCATTAGGGGAGCCTCTGTAGCCCCTTTCTGGGGGGCCTCCTCTGCCCCTCAAAGGCCTACCTCGACCTCGATAATCTGGCCTCCCTCTGCCACCACCAGGGCCCATTTCATAGTGCCTAGGCCCCGGATAATATCCCTGCTCATAGTCCTCCTCATACTGCTCCTCCTCCGGGTAATATTCAGCAGTCTCATCCTCGTACCCTTGTTCTTCCTCGTACCCACCATACTCCTCCATGTACCCACTGCCGTCGTCTTCACCGTAATATTCCTCTTCCTGAGGCTCCATGAGACTAGGAGGGGCATCCCCTAACAGGCCACCTCCTCCCCTGGGTCTAAGCTGTCGTGGGGGTGGGCCTTCTTGGCCACGGAAAAGAGGCCTGGGTTCACCTAAAACAGACGGAGTGCACCAGTAATATTATCACATAAGAGCATTTGACAAAAGTCCACATGCACAAGAATTCACTGTTGCATTTCATTTTAGTTATTAATATGAGGGAGCATATATTATAGTTTTTTTCCACTTGTAATCAACAACTTTCAAATAGTCTAGCATTTTTTCTTTTTTTGGACAATTTTTTTTTACAATAAAAAAGTCAATGAAAATGCGAAAAATAAGACAACATTTAAGTTTTTTTGTTTTTTTTTCAACTTTATACCTGGTCTCCCCCTGGGTCCAGGTAGGCGTGGTCCAAGAGGGCGTGGTCCAGGATGATGATTCCCTGGGGGGTACCCCCTGTTATCCATTCCTGGTTCCCCATTTGGTCCTACATGGGATGGTCCTCCCATAGCTCCTGGGGGGTGGCCTGAGGGGGTGAGTGCCCCTCCTGTGGGTGATGTCAAACCTGCAGGACCTGGAATGAAATGGCTACTTATAAGTTCCCCTTGGCATTATATTTTGTTTTTCTGAATAAAGCACATATTGTGTAGGTTCTCAAAATTGGAGGTTTTTGACAAGGCCAAAGTAGCATGAAAATCCATACCCAACAGAGGTAATATTTCATAGCAGTATGCAATTCCAGAACAAATAATTTGCCTCCTGTAGCTGAAGCTCACAGTGGGCCTAAACAGTATGATTATGGCACAAACCTGATGTTAGCGGTGGGTTTACACAGTTTGACTAGGGTATAATAAAAATCCTCAGTGCCATGTGGAACTCATGTTAGTTGTTGGCTTGATTAATATGGCTATGGTATAAATATTAACAAGTGCCTTATGCTTCCCACTCAGTATTTGTGAGTGTGACTAGGGCTTAAATAGTATGGCTAAGGCATAAAGAACATTTACTGACCAGCCAACCTGGATGGTGTCTCCTGCGTTGTGGGACCATTTTGAGGACCATGGACATTCATATCCAGTAGACTGGGTGGACCTGATAGACAGAATTAAAGGGTTAATTCCAGCCATAAAACAGTACAGTCAATAAAACTTATGAAAGGAATACAAACCAGAAGTCATATTCATCAAAGGTCTACTAAGTAGTATTGGCAATCTGAAAGACTAACCAGCAGTTGAGACAGACTGCACCAAGTCAAATTGTAAGGAACACATGTTACAGTAGTTCTTCATCTGGCATGACATAAATGAAAAAAATTGGTCTAAAATCATATTTCCAGGGCTTGTTTGGAGCTGGTACTTGGTAGAATACTAGAAAATTATCATACACCCCAAAAAAGAAATTTTGATACAACTGAATTTTTTCTTGTGTCAAAATCTTACAGAGATGCACTTTGGCTAAAAGCAACTACACAAAATATAGTGCAACTTACGTCCTTCTGTGGGAGTGGGTGCTGCCTTCTCTGGCGGGGCAGGTGATACTGCCACCACAGGGGTGTTCACATTGGTCTCCCAAGCCTGCTCAAATTTCTTAGGGACGGCGTGTGTCTGGGGGTGTTTTCTCCTACTAGCCATTTGTTGCTGTTGCATGGCATGATGCCTGTTGATGGCACTCTGCTGTTCTTCCTTCCAATCCAATCCTGGGATGGAGGGCATGGCTTCCTCAGGGGCTAAAAAAGGGAAGAGGAGAGGAGAGAGATTTATTTCTTATCTTAATGATCAATTTTGACATAACTTCCTCAGGGGCTAAAAAAAAAAAAAGGAAGGGGGGAGAAGAGAGAAATTTATATCTCATCTTGATGATAAATTTTGACATAGCTCTATTCATTTCAATTACCAATTTTTTGAAGATTTCTAACTTTTGCAAACTGATTACTTACGTTTTGGCTTGAGATGTTCAGCAACTCCATATTCTAGTCCCATGCCCGGAATCTTGGCAATGGACTGTATGTCGTCTGAAATTTTTTTTTTAAATACAGATTTTGTAGGTGGTACAGGCATTTAATGGCACTGGTTACTTCGCTTTGGTCTTTTTAACTCTTTGGTAACCACAATGAAATCTAATTATACCATATCTTTAAAACGGGTAATCACTGTGGTAGATGGCACTGGTTTGCAAGAAAAGCTCATTTGGAAAACCTACCATAATCAACATCTTCTCCCATCCCTACTGGCAATGTGTTCAGATTGTACTTGTCCCTCATGTGGTCTCCCGGCCTATTCCTGGTCCAGAATTTACTGAAAGAACAAATCAAAATTTGGTTTGTGCTGTTTCCAATATCACAAGGATAAATATGATAGTTGCAGGCAAAACTACCATGATTACAATCTCATATGATGAAAATGAACATGTAACACAGCATGTGAAAAGGGTGAAGAGGATGATAAGGTCTTTCTTTAGCTATAGACGGTACGATAAAATGTCCATACCAAAGTAGCACTTATCCAACAAGCGGGCAAATATGAAAATTTGAAAATTAAGAAACAGAGAAGAGTCAAGGGTTTTGAAACTGAGTGAAACTTTTGTTTTCTTCGGAGGTCAACATACGTGCTGTGATCGTTGGATCCTGATACCAGAATATGACCCATTGGATGCCAGGCCAGGTCCCAGATTATCTGATCATGAGCTTCGTCCATACCTCCAACTTCTTTGTCAGTCCTGAGGAAATGCACATAAAATGTGAAATCAATCACATGAAAAGATTCACAGCATGTCTTGTTTTAAGGACATTGTAAGAATCTGGAAAAACTTTAGAATTATAAATTAATTAGTTTCAATCAAAATGCACTCAGTTTGCTCATCAACCACATCCATGCTATTTTTTTTAAGTGCCAGTGTACAAAACCAGAAATTAAAATGATGAATTAATCAGGGCCAGACATACCTATTGCTGTTACCCCAGAACTTGCCAGCTGGCACAAGTGTTCTCCACAGTCAGACAACTAGAATTTAAGTCCTACTACTCTTTTTTAAAATAATTTTTGACTGGAGCAAGTAGTTTTTCAGACCTGCTTGCCCAACAGGACAAGTGCATGAAATTAGTTTATGTGAAGCCCTGTATAATCACCCTGGGAACCACTCACCCTACTAGCCAGAACAGTATAGCCCCATCAGATCCTCCACTGGCAAACATGCCTTCGTGAATAGGGTGCCAGGCTATTGCTGGAAAGATTTAGTACGCAATGCTTTTAACAAGGCAGCAAAGCTGTGAAATGTACGGACATAAATCAGAAAAATATGACACACAGAATGGGTTATCAACAGCATTATCACCACCAAATTTTAGTTAGAATTTTAAGATCTATTAATTTGAAGGAAGGCCTCTCCTTCATTTCAAAGGGGCAGTTCAAAATATCATGAAAATTCAGAATTATGTGATTTTAAAAGACCTCTGGTTTTTAAAGGGGGAGTTCACATTTTTTTTGCGAAAATTCAGAATTGGTATTTTAAGAAAGCCTCTGAGATGGTTCGCACTGTCTGAAGTTTTAAATCTCTCTTTTAATCTTTTCAAAAAAATGGAATAAACTTACTTGTTGCTTCTTTCTTGTGGCCTTTGAAAGTCTGCATTTCTTCTTTCATGCTGCGTATGTCAAATAACTTCACCAGATGATCCCTGGAAGCCGTCAACAGCCAGTTACCATTGGGATTCCAGTGCAAATCCATCACAGTACTTTTATGTGCATGACTGAAAAGTTTGTCAATATCATTAGCAATCCACCCAATATAACATATACATATCTTAAAAATAAATCTTGTCACGGTGATCTGATTCAGTCCTCAGTATGTGGACGCCGTTAATGTTACAAAAAAAGAATCTACTAACAAAGTTTTTAAGTCCCATAATAGATTTAAGCATTTGCGTTTAAACACGTTGCTGACAATTACGAGGAAGTCAGCGTATTACGTTCCACATATGCTTGCACACATAAATGACTGAAAACTGAAAAATGTTTGTCACGCTTGTGGTGGGGTGAGGTTGGGAACCATGAACAGAACTCCAAATTATCAGGATAAATATGGAAGACTTCAATCTTAATAAGAAGACTAGAAAAACCACAAATGTGTTGAAAGAGACAGACGGGCAGACAGACAACACATGTAACTAAAAATGAAATTAATTTTTTACAAGGCACCACTGGCTCATTACTCAATATTACATACCACACCAGCACAATCTCAAAATCCAAAGATCTCAGTACATCACTTACATAGTTGCCAGACTGTTCCCAGCTCTTGGATCCCACAGCTTAATGGGCTGCTGGCTGTCCTTGCTCCCAGATGCTATCAGACCCTTTTGTGGGTGCCAGTCCACACATTTGACATCAGAACCATGGCCTATAGGGGGACAGCGAATAGTACACATCAGTGGGTGAAGTTTGTTTGGACTAGAGGGGGTGGGGGTTGGGGTGGTGAAGGGGGGGGGGGCACTCTTTCTCTCTTGGCGAGAGGGCATGTTTAGATTAAAGGGACAAAGAGTAAGATTTTCAACATATATTTTTAGCTTATTGGTACATGAACCGCTTCTTGCTGAATTTGTCTAAGGATGAGCAATCACATATTTTTTAAAGAGAGAAATACTGTTTAAGCATCCCAAGAAAAATTTGTTACAATGAATTTTACATGAGAACACACACACACACACACACACACACACACACGTAAACATACACTCAAGCACACACACCCCTGGATGGTAATAGGTCAAGCCTAGATTAAGATCCCTGTTGTTTGGTCATAAAAAAAACAAAACAGTCTATTGTTGCACACACCCATAAGAATTTAGGGGCAGTGTCTTCACATTTTGCCATACTGTCATGATTTGTTTTTAACACAAGGTTTGAACAGCAAGATGTTCCCTGATGCTTTTCTCTTCTTTGTTCATTGATCAGTTTTTTATGACCTCTGAATTCTCCACGAACCAAATGTGCTATATGGACCATAATCATGTTATATTATTACAAATTATGGAAATAAAAAAATAACTCATTTTATTAACGGTCAACAATCACATAATCATGCCATAAAAAGCACCAACTTTCACAAAGTGTTACACAAATGATACTCTAAGTCTTACAACTACTGTTCCATCTGGCATTTCATATTTCACTTGTACAATAATCCTCTTTACATTGTTTAAAATGACATTTTATCAAAGCCAACTGTCAGCTGAATTTTTATCAGCATATACCCGCCAAAAAAAGAAAAAAAATGAAAATCCAGTAAAGCCTTTCGTCTGAATATAATTTAGAATACTGTACCTCTTAAAACTCTTTCTTCATGGCAATGTTGAAAATCCCACACTCGGACAGTTCCATCATCAGAACAAGATGTGTATTTAGAGTCAGTTGGACAAAAACTGGTGGAAAAAAGATACAAAAAATGTTCCGAATAATATGAAAAATAAACATTTTTATTCTTTTCAAGGTATAACGACTACTAAAATAAATATAGTTCATAACATTAAATGTTGCTGCATTGTTCTTTCTTCATTAACTTCATTTGTTATCGCATATAGTTACTAGCCGAACAAAGAAAACCTCATCCAATTATTTACTTTACTTGTATATCCACAAGAAACCTGAATGAAAGTGAAAAATCTCAACGTACTTAAATTATAATAGCACTTCTTATCCCTCTTTATTCAGTTAAAAAGAACAAACTATCACTCAACAGTGTAAATATGACCAACTGCATAAAGTTTTCATTTCGAAATTGGATTTGAAGTTTGCTGCACAGCACTTAAATATCTTCACGTCTTGTTTGGGACTCTTCCATATGGAGAATAACACTTTAACCATAAAGTGTCATTTCTGGATAAATGGTGGTGTAACAAGAGGAAAACTTCCAATGAATTTATATTTCTATTAAGTGCAGCAATCTGTCTAGGTACACCTGTCCTAATCAGTTTTTCAAACTGTTAATTCTATTCATTTCTTCATTTCATTTCTTTGAATCCTCATGTTTATTTATTTTTGAAGATTGATCTTTATTCATCTGCCTTTTCTTTCTTTCGTTTATTGGATTCATCTGCCATTTACTTTTTTTACTTTCATTTATTGGGTGTTGGTGGCGGGAGGTTCCTAAACCCACAAACGATAACAGATTTCCATTAGCTCACAAGGACATTTTTGTACATCAAGCATTGCATTCATAATTGTTTTTTGTTGTTTTTTTTTAATCCAATTAGCAGGGGTTGCAACTTCCATTTGTTCCTGCTATCCCTTACAACTGCAACAAGGACGTAAAATATCTGATGTTTACTTGATAAATCAACAAAAATGTAGAATTTATTTTTCAATAAAAAAATAAGACAGTGCTGGGAACTTTATTACCAGATTCTCCCAGCACCAAATGGAAGTTTTATTTCAAAGGCAAAAAAATTATACATATCAAAAATATATGTCATTTATTCTGTTCCTACACTCAACTCGTCACGGAATTGCACCTATCCTATGTACTGGCCTTTAAGATAAGAAACAGACATCTCCTCCACAGCATTATAAAATCAAGTTCAATGTCACTTTAATTTAGAAAAAAAAAATTATCCCTGGTCAATATCATTTTTTCTGAGATAAAAAGCTATTTAGAAATTCTACTGTATAAGTTAAGAGCCCTAAGATCCATGTTATTCCTCCTTTAGATCAGTTTATCTCCGAGTCAATATTTGTCTCCTTAAAAACAGACAAAAAAAAATCTTCCCAAGTCATGTGACCAGCCACAAGACCAACCACATGACGATCATGTGATCCCTATCTGCCCACCTTAGCCCTCTTATGGGTTCCTTGTGTGCCTGATACATTTTCACATTGTTCATATTAGACTGCCAGTATTTCACATATCCGCCGTGGTCACCAGTCAGTAGCCACTGGTCATTGTGGCTCCACTGCATAGCACGCACTGAAGAGTCATGAGCCTGGAAATAGGGGAAAAATAAATTGCTTTTAAGTCTTAAATGTCACAAGCTGTTGATGTTTTAAAGTTTTGCTTATAGTTCATCTATATATCTGCAATTTTTTCATTTATTTTACTTATTTATATGTTTATTTATTTATTTATTTATTTTTTTTTTTTTGGTAAACAAAAAGTCAACAAGAAAGAAAGCATTGACCTCACCCACTTAACAAAGCATATGAATTCATATAACATGCAGAAGCTTTGAAATTACATTCATAAAAACATTCAAACAACTGTATGTGTCAGTAGATATGCAAAAGATAAGGGTAGTAAGTTGACAAAACACAGTTCAGTAAAAAAAATCATACAAAGGAGTGAAAAAAATCTTTATAATTCTAATAAGTAAAAACTACAGACAAAAGGAATTCTGAAATACAACGTTTCTATAAATCAAAAATACTTAAGCGCCACTCAAATAAATATTATTAAAATATGCATTGTGCATTACCCAGCTCCTTCAAGAGGCTCTTACTTGTAAAATTGTTTCAAAATTGAAAGTAAGTCCACTCCAAAGAGTGAACTCCCCACTGGATGCTCCCGTCACCAACCTCCTGCCTTCTGGTGTCCACTGAAATAAAATATATATAACTAAATATAACATTGTATCTTTTTATCCACAAGTCTAATAATATACCTAGTTCTGCTGTTCTGTGAAAATATAACTATGTGCTACAATGTATCTTTTACTTCAAAAAGTCAAATATCTATCAAAGTCCGATTTCTACTGAAAATACGATCACATTACACTGCTGTTCATAAATTCTGTGAATAAATGTCAATGAAGGAGAGAGACTTACGCAGACACAAAACACAGGGCACTTGAATTTGTTGGTGGATGTTCTCACGTGTTTCGTAGTGACGGCATTCATTGGGTTGTCTAGCATAGCCATTGGTGGAACAAGCTGGTGGCAAGCAAATACAGAATACGTTAAAATATGACTGTATTCAATTATCTTATAAATTTTTTTTCCTGTTGCATTACCATACTTTAGTGCAACACCGAAAGATATAGTTTCATATTACCCGAAAAAAAGGATATTTGAACGATTGTTCTGCTTGCTTCCTGTACTGTATATAAACAGGGCAGATAAGTAGGTCAAAATTACGACCAAACATTTCAAGAACTGCTAACACAAGCTCACCTCTGAGTGATATAGTGAGTCGGGCTGCAGAGCTCTTCTATCCCTGTGATCACGCTGCCATATTCTGTTCTGATAGGAAGACAAAACCAGAACATATTACTGACTGCAACTTTAGCCACTGTTTCAAAACACTTGACAAGATCTGATGTCAAACTAGTAAGGAAAGTTATTTATTTATTTATTTATTTTGTTCTATTTATTTATTATTATTATTATTATTATTATTATTTTTGGCAAAGTAACCATTGCAAGGTTCAAACGTATAATGTCCAAATTAAAATGCCAATCAAACCCAAACAATATTTTATATAGTAATAAATAATAGAAAATGAATAAATAAAATACAAATAAAAGCCCCCAATGCCTTTTAAATTGCCATTACCACTTCACCTCTAACATCTGTATCATGGATGTGTTGTAGTCTATTGTTTTCCTGTAGACAGATTTCCTCAGTCTCTTCCCATCAAAAGTTGTAGCATTCATAACTCCCTGCGCATTAAACTGCCTGTTGGCTCCAGCATTGTTAACATAATTGCCCTGAAAAATGAGGAGATTAGAGATATGATCTTTCAAAAAAAAAAAAGTGCGAACTTTTATTGGTGGACCTAAAAATTAATCAGCTGGACACCATCAGAATTGATTTAAATATCTTGGAATTTCCAAATTCCATGGAAAAGCTCTGGTTATAACACATGGTTAATTACAATGAAATCACCTGGACAAACATCTGATGGTTCAATATTTATTTATAAATCTTCTACAGTTATATTTTCTTCGAAACTCATTATCATTGTACCATGACTGTTTGTTGTCAAACAACTAAGCTGTCAACAAGAACAAAATTTTCTGACTCAATTCACATGCAAACTAGTACTGCAAAGAGAACAAAATAGTTTTACCTTTTGATAATTAATCTGGAATCTGGGCATGTGGAAAAAGCGTTGGGGTGTAGAATGCTGCATTGCAACCCCGCCCTCCATCTTTGTATTGCAATCAGCCTGGCCACTGTCAGATAAACTACTGTCTTCCTTAAGTTCCAAATCAGTATATCACTCTGAAACATTCATAAATAAACCAGACTTAAGTTAAGCATCAACATGATTTGTCAACAGTTGCTTATTTTATTGGGGATTTTTTTCTTCCAAATCAAAGAATAAAAGGTATAAGAAAATGATGGACTTATTTCTACATCCAATAAATACTTTCAGTTAGTATCTGGGTTGGTTTGTTCAAACCTGAATAAGGATAAGTAACCCAAACTATCTCCAGACAAAATACCAATTCACATTTATTTGTATATTTGGAAGTGGAGTGTCACTCTCAAAGGCCTGCAAATTAAAAAAATGATCACTTATATTCTAGTCATTTCCCCTAATCTTCTGCCCACTTTAATTGCTTCAGGGGTTACAAGATGGGTTGTCAACCAGGTAAAACATAACTTAGGGACCATTCCTATAACCCTTTCATACTAGCAGGATCTATCCATCTCCGAGGGGATTCTCAATAAATTGCATTCACTTAATTATCCCTTTAGCAGCTTCAGTGAGTGTGACAGACATTTAAGATGCTTAAGCTGAATGCAATTTAGTGACATCAGTTACATCAATCATTAGTTACATCAATCTTGCTAGTATGATAGGCTTATGGGAACCCAGCCTGAAGAGTGTAGATCTCTACCCAAAGAAAACCGTGCCAACTCCCTTTGACATCTCTGCTGTCATCTGCACAACATGGGTGGAGATCTACATGTGAGAAGTGTAAGGGTCTTTATAGTAATAAAAAGGATCCTCTGACAAACTGAAATTCTGAAAACCACAAAACCGTACAATCCAAATTGGTAAAATCCTCAGGCATTTTACGAGAATCTCATCTTGTAAGAGGCTAGTATAACCACTTCTTCCGTTTATACAATGTTTTTGTAATAAAAGTAAAAGATCTCACGAAAACTGTAATTAAACTAAAAACATACGATCCAAAATTTCTGCCATAATGTTTTTCAAGAAAAGCAGTTCATTTATTTTGGACAAATTACAGTCCTGTTTAAGGAAAACTTAACATACTTTTTACAATCTCTAGGTTCCTGAACCCCCAAGCTTCCTACTCATCGACGTCTGCTGCATTTTCATGGCATTTTGAATCAAAAGTAAAGGTTTATTGTCCTAGATAACTCAGAGTCCTGCAAACCGGCGCCATTTTAGACCTCATGGTGTCGGAATATCCCGAGCATGCACGAAACTAACCGAAGTTGACGCCATATTGAGTGTTCAAAGAAATATCTGTAATCGCGAATTTAAATCGTAGTTATTTGTAGTCATCGAAGCTCTTTGTGTGTTGAAGTAGTTTAATATTGACGCAAACGGTACTGGGCATTCTTACAAAGACAATATTTTGCGCATAGACTCACAGACTATTGTAAAATGCCGGAGAACTTGAAAGTCGCAGTGGTATGTTCCAGTAATCAAAACAGAAGTATGGAGGCCCACAGTTTTCTCAGGTAAAAATGATCCCAGGTGAAACAGGCACAAATAAAATAGTGCGTTTTCCTTCAGTTCTCGATATGTGTCTTTGCAAGAATCGTGGAACAATGGAACATACGCGAACCAGGTGTTGGAAGTCTTTCATAAAAAGGACATGGATTTTATCTTGACAGTTATTTGTTTTACACTGCTTCTGTGTATGGGGAAAGGTGACAGTGATTCACTGAAATGAATACGAGTTGAGTCAATATGGAGCTATTTGAATTCTGGACTTATGAGGAATTTGCAACTTGAATTAAGTGGGAATAGTTACTACCACTTAGTTGAACGTTACTCAGTTTGTACCATTTTCATTCACTAGCCAAATGTTTCAAACGAAATCTAAAAGAAATATCAGAAATTTGATATTTTCTGGTTACGACGTTTTTATAACAAGAATGAAATCCCCCTCCCCTTTCGGTGTGATAAATTCAATTGCGACAGTTGAGCAATGAGAATCGCAACTGAAACAATGAATAAACAAAGATCGTGCCCAGTCGTTGTAAAAAATTGTGAAGAACTTTTAATTTAGCAGGGGCAATTTACTGAGTGACAATAGTTTTCTTCTTTTTTTTATTTAAGTGTCAACATTTTTGCCCTCATTTGATCATTTACAGAAACAGCTTGTCTTTACTTTATCCTTGGCATCACAAATGTTAGTTTGTGTTAAAAAAAGTCATTGGCTTACTAGTACTTGAAAAATATATCATGCTTGTCAGTTGTAAACTATTTGTTAAAATATTATTATTAGTCTGATTTATTATTTTTATGAATTTATATATTTTTATTTAATTTTTATTTATTTATTTGTGAGCTGGTTATATTTGTTAACTTTTTAAAATCCTTTTTCTTTTCAGTAAGAGGAATTTCAACGTGCGGTCATTCGGAACAGGGGCCCAGGTCAAGCTGCCTGGCCCTTCTCCTAACCAGCCCAATGTGTACGATTTCGGCACGACCTATGAATACATGTACAGGGATCTGCTGATGAAGGACAGAAATTTGTATCCCCTTTTAACTTAAAGGCCAAGGCAATCTGATATTTCTTAATTATCCGAATGCTGAGGTGGTGTTGGTTTGGTCGTACACTTTTGCTATCAGTCATATTCTACTTATTAGTTCTAGTTTTGTTCTGTTATATGATTCATTTTAAGTTATTTTGTTTTTCTACATTTTGATCAATTGGTACACTTTTTTTTTTTTTTTTTTTGTAAGTTGAATCCTCAGGCTTTTAAATATATTCATTTGTCAATTTTGTTTATTTATTTATTTTTTTCATGTTTTTTTTTTTGTTTTTTTTTTTTTTTTTTTTTTTTTTTTTTTTTTGGTAATTTTTTTTTTTTTTTTAAATTTTTTTGGGGCTTGAGAAACAGATTTCATTTAAATTGGGGGGAAGTTTTTCAAAAAA